TAGTTTATATCTTGGGGGGATGGAGAAACTTATAGAGACTAATGCCAGGCACCAGCACCCAGCTCTGCACCAGTGGGCCACCACCATTCCAGATTGCTTCCCGCTCACAGTCTCCATTAACTTTCACCCACACATCTTGGGCCCACAGTCTCCTTCCAGGTTGGTAAATGCCCCCTCTCAAGATGCAGATAAGACACCTGGGCCATCTTTTTCTCCATACCTTGATGCAGATTCCAGGCAGGTCGAGGCTTCCATCACTAGATGGCTCCCAGAAGCCCCTCTACAGTCCATTTCCCAGCAGCAGGCCCCACCCCTTAGAGGAACCAGGTCTCTGGGACACAGTTTTGATCAGAGAAACTTGGCAGTATTACTGAGAACGTTGCTGGGCATTTTTAAGTAGATGGCATAGATTAATAAGTGACTAAATCTCCCCTATTTTGACACTTCTGGATGGTTTCAGGCACGATGTTTGGAGACTTGGAATAGAATTCATTAGTATCTGGAAATGGCTGGATGCATATGGCAACAGAAGCAAGAGGGCTGGAAGTATAATTGGTCACAAACTTCACGAAGAAAAGTTTGCCGCACATATCAGCGAATGTTAAACATGCGTATCCCTCTGGCTCAGCAATTCCAACACATACTCATGGAGTTCTACCACTTCTGTACTGATTCCTAAATAAGGGTTTATAGGCTTAGGTGGGACCATGAACTGAGGTAGCTCTTTGGAGATAAACTTGTCAACAATTATCAGCATTAAATGTATCTAAAATTAACTCAGAAGCCCTTATATTTGATTGTATAATTATTCCACTGGCTTTTTCCATGCTTTGTTCTAGGGTTGCATACCTATGGATATTGTTCTTTTTGTATCACAGTTTATGCTGCTAGGAAACATGGTTTTCTCATTCACCAAGACATACCTGAAGTTTAGCAAAGCACTATCTTGTTGTTAGGTGAGGCCTGAGTACATGCTTAATGAATGATGGAAGTAGTAGAGGTGTGATTCCAATTCAAGTTGTCCTGGCTTTGCCTCCCTTGATCTTTTAGCACAGCATACAGTAAAGATGTGGATAAGGGAGAGTGATTCTTCTCTTCCAGCTGGCCTAGTCTCTGTGCCTAAAACAGAATGCTTGGGCATAATGTGGTGACACAAATTTAATCTCAGCACTTGGGAAGCAGACAGGTGGATGGATATCTATGAGTTCAAGGCAGCCTGGTCTACATAGCAAGCTCCAGGTCAGCAAGGGCTGCATACTGAGACCCTGAGTCAAAAAAGCAAACTCAAAACAAACAGAACCCCCCACAACACAGAATGTTCAACCAATAATGCTAATTTTGCTGTTTTTTATTTTTCTTTATTTTTTTGGTCAATGATTTTCATAAAAATGCTAACTATCCAATATCAGTTGCAAAAATATACCACCTCTCCTTCCTGCCAATTTGTGGACTTTCTCTGTAGACACTGGGTATTTTAAGAGGCAGAGCAGAAGTTTCTTCCTTGAGAGACCAAACTGTATTCAAAGGGATTAATTACATGATAGCCTCCACATTGGTCCAGCCTGTGCACAGAAGATGCTTTCAATACTGCTTTAGCAGATGATCCTGAGAGGGGAGAGAAGTGATCTCCCACAGAGGCAGAGAGCATGAAGGCCAAATAAGCCCTGTGTCATCTTTCCACATTATAAATAATCCTTTTTGGTGGAAGGAAGGGAACAACGTTCTCTGAGAGTATGCTGATGAAAATTCTTTGCAGAAAGCAGGGTGAACAAACCAGTTAATCCTTCTGTGAGACTTTCCTCCTGAACATAAGCAGCAATGCTTTTTTTGAATTGCCAAAGCCAGAGGAACAAAACAGTGGAAGGTGGTGGTTATACTGACAGGGCCTGGAGAGAGGAAGGACCTAGGATCCAGTCTTGCTTCTGCCTCAAATTACCCACACAGCTTTGGACCAAGTGAACGTCATCATTTGCTGAGTCTCAAATCCACCAGATGGGAAAGATGATTTTAAATGGCATGTTGTTCAGTAAATAAAAGGGAAGTATGCTGGAAAGAATTCATAGCTTTGTACTTTTACAACTTGTTCAAAAGAACTAATAACACAAAGCTTTCAGCTTAGATAAGTTTCTTTAATAGATAGGAACTGCAAACTCTGTGCTTCGCTTCACTGTAAAAAAAAAACAAACAAACATTTGAGCCTTATGTAGGATTTTAAGAATTGGAAGCTGGAATTTAGGTTCACATGCTTGGAGGTGGGCTTTGATGTTAAAAAAAAATTTGAGCCTTATGTAGGATTTTAAGAATTGGAAACTGGAATTTAGGTTCACATGCTTGGAGGTGGGCTTTGAGGTCCCTTTGAAAACTTTTCTGGGTTTATCATTCTGTGATGTTGGACTGTAAGAAAATTGTGGGCATCCTGTGGTGTCCTCAGATCCAATCAATGTAAGTTTTCTATAATCTAATTTTATTTTATTTTTTGGTTTTGAGATAAAGTCTAGTTTTATTTTATTTTTTGGTCTTGAGATGTAGCCCTAGCTGCCCTGATTCTATATAGTCCAGGCTGACCTTGTACTAATGGCAATCCTCCTAACTCATTTTCTTGAGTGCTGAGATCATAGGCATGTCCTGACTCTATTGAAAAGTTTGTCCTGAAAACTCTATTTTTAAAATAATTTTAAAAAGCCATATATAAAAATACATTGGGATAATTTTAGCAGAAATTTCATTATGTTATATAGCATAATTGTTCCTTATGGATACCCAAACAGGAGACTTTGTTTCTTTGTTTTTAACAGATAGTTTTTTTCTATGGCCACCAATTTGAATCACAAAGACAAATTGGCTTATAATTTTTTCTTTTAGGATATACGAATTCAGTTTGGCTATATGTTATATTGCTCATGTTGATTATATTTTTCCTTTAGTTTTTCCTGTCTGTTTGAGACTAAGTATTAGAAATTTTTCATGTTTATAATGAAGTTATATCCATATCAATAGCTGCTTAATCCTGATTACATATACTTAATGACCTGGTTCCTTAAGCCACATGAATAATTATCCTTGCAGCTGATGATAGAGATGATCAGAGATACTATTTATTGCATATTTATTACATCCAGATTATTACAAATACTTGCCATGCACTATAGTCATGCCCTTTCTGCATTACTTGTAGAAGAACTCGTTCTTTCTTGTTTTTTAGAGGGTCTCACTATGTAGCCTTGACTGGATTGGCGCTCACTATGTAGACCAGGCTGGCCTGCAACTCAAAGATCTATCTTCCTTTGCCTCCTGAGTGCTGGGATTAAAGGTATGCACCACCACACGTGACCAAACTCTTTCATTTTTTAATTTTAGCACAGTTTAAAAAATCGACAGGTAATAAGTACCATTACTTTCATTTTTATGAAAAAGAATGTTGAGGCTTTGCAAAATTATCTATGGTTATATTACCAATGAGTATCAATGGAAAAGTCCAAGCCCAGAAATGCTTAACTGATAATATCATATAGCTCAGCCCACAGACTCTGTGGTAAGACTGCTCAAGACCCAGCTCTGCTACTAATTTGCTCATTGTGAGAAGATGCAGTACAATGAAAATACTTGAGACCCCCATTCAAAGTTGTTAGATACAGTCTCTCTTTCTGCATAAAATAAGAACTTACCCCATGGGGTTGATGTGGGGATTGCATGTGCTGATACATCTCAACAGAAAAGAGAGAGGAGAGCAGCTTCCTGATCAGCACAGGATCTTCTCTGCGGTATTGCAAAGATCTGGGTGCATTTTTCTTCTTCTAAAACTCAATAGTTTTCCTTGAATTATTATACTAAAGATTTTATGTCTTTAGAAAGTGGGAAGATTTAACTACTGAAAATGACTTTACTTCTAGAAAAAAAGATAGCTGTGAAGGACTACTGATATATAAATTTTTTAAAACCAAAGCTGAGATAGACACAAGCTTTCTCCTAATATCACTGGGAAAGTAAAGAGTATGTAGGCATATTCTTCCAGGGAATTTTATAATTTATAAGCTGGCTCAGATAGCATCTGAGCTGGGCACGGTGCTGCATGTCTGTATTCACATCTCCAGGAAGACTCAGGTAGGAGAACTGTAAGCAGCCTATGCTGTACAGTAAGAGGCAAGCAAAGAAAAAGAGCAACTATTTTTCTTTCTGTGCTAACAATTTCCCTCCTGTAGAAAATAAACAGATAATTATATAAAAATGATCCCCGATTAATTTACTTCTATTCTTTTATATCGAGTCCTCCTTGAAGGCTCTAGAGAGAGCAGAAGCCTTTAGTGAGATGGATTTTCTTAAGGCAAAGGCAAGCATAACCCAGAAGCAGGAGGAAAGCAGGTCAGTTGCTTCCTAGACAGGATGCTGAGCACATCCTGGGCTGGAGCAGGTGGACATGAACAAGGAGAGGAGGAGAACAGTTGTACAAGTATCCAACAGCAACCACATCAGTCTCCCAACCCTGTTTCAGTTTTGTTTTTTTAATTTACCACTAGTTTGTGTTACCATCAGCTAAACTGACTTTGGAGAGCAACTATCTTTGAAAAGTGTAAGTAGAAATATTTTATTCAAAAGGTGTGCAACAGATAGGCAGAGATTTTAGATGTTTTCTCAAATTCCATCATATTTAGTCTGACAATGATCAGAGATGCATTCCAGTTTGAATTAGAAAATCACAGTATTCCAGAGGTTCAATATGTATGTGTCTGTAATACCAACTCTAGGAAGACTCAGCTGTAACCAAAAAAGTTGAGATGATGAATTTATTGTTTTAAGCTAATGGCTTCAATATTTAGAGTCCAGTGAAACAAAAGGCATATGTTCACATTTTATGGATGACAATAAACTGACCTAAGATTCTAGGAGATAAGAGTGTTAAGAGGGGCAGAGTTTTCAAAGGAAACATGGAATTCATTCTCTTGCTTGTGCTCTTTCAAGTTAAAGGCAACACTGTTCCTGCAATCTCAGTACCCTCGGAGTCTATGGAAAAACTACACAATGTTACAGAATTTGTTATGCTGGGACTCTCCCAGAAGCCAGAGGTGCAGAGGCTTCTCTTTGTGGTCTTCTTGGTAATCTACGTGGTCACAGTTTCTGGAAACATCCTCATTGTGCTCACCATCACCATCAGCTCTACCCTGGCTTCCCCAATGCATTTTTTCCTTTCCAATCTATCCTTTATTGACACCTGCTATTCTTCTTCCTTGGCCCCTAAACTCATTGCAGACTCCTTGTATGAAAGGACAACTATCTCTTATGAAGACTGCATGTCCCAGCTGTTTGGGGCCCATTTCCTGGGAGGTGTGGAAATTATTCTGCTCACAGTGATGGCCTATGACCGCTATGTGGCCATCTGCAAGCCCCTGCACTACACCACCATCATGACCAGACACCTCTGTGCCGTGCTCGTGGCTGTGGCTTGGCTGGGGGGTTTCCTGCATTCATCCATTCAGCTCCTTCTGATCTTTCAGTTGCCCTTCTGTGGGCCCAATGTGATCAATCACTTTGTGTGTGACTTGTACCCTTTGCTGGAGCTGGCCTGCACCAACACGTATGTCATTGGCCTGCTGGTGGTGGCTAACAGTGGTGTGATCTGCCTGTTGAACTTCCTCATGCTAGCTGCCTCGTACATTGTCATCCTGCGCTCACTGAGGTCCCACAGTGCAGAGGGGAGACGCAAAGCCCTGTCCACCTGTGGTGCCCACTTCACTGCAGTCACCTTATTCTTTGTACCTTGCATATTTAGTTACATGCGTCCAACAACTACTTTATCAATAGATAAAAGCATGGCAGTATTTTATGGTATTCTGACACCTGTGTTGAATCCACTCATTTATACTCTGAGAAATGAAGAGGTAAAAAATGCCACGAGAAAACTTTTTGTATGATAGGAAATTGCAAGTACCTGAATCTCAGTGGTAGAGAAGCACATGTAGTCAGTCCATTTCTGTAAATGCAACAATCAAAGCTCACATTTTTTTAAACCATGTATCATTTTATTCCATTTATCCATTGTTTCATCTTTATAGGCTTTTGTGGTTGAATTACATGTTCTAATTGTACAATATCTGTACAATATAAACTACTTAAATTATTATTTCTATTTTAGAAGTAGAGAACAACTTTTTAAATTTTTTATTTTTTTTCAGATGCAAAATGTTTTTTTATTTTTATTTTTTAGGATTGCATTGTCTTTTTTTCTTTTTTAAAAAATTTTACAAATCTTTATTGAGAATTTCATACATGCATATAAGGTGTTTTGATCAAATCCATGCCCACTCCCTCCCCTCCAACATTCCCCCCTCTGAAGAGAGAACCCTAAAATCTTTTAAGGATTAGATACAAGCTCCCAGATACTTTTGACACTTTTGGCCTTGGAACACAGTACGTTGCTAACAGGCCCACGGACATTTTGACTTATAGCCAAGAAACTGGCTACATTTCCTGGGGGTCTTTTTACCCTAACTGCCTAGCCAATTCCTACCTCCTAGTCTTATCACACCATCCTCTGAAGGGGTTACCCAAATTGCAAATAGGGAATAGAGACGCTGACCACTCTAGCTTCTTCCATGCTGAACAGAGACTCAGGGTGAGGCAATTGGAGTGCCCCTTCAGTGGGTCTATCTAAAAGACTCCCAAATTGCATAACTTTTGTCTCCAAGGGGAAAAGAAAGTCCTTGACTCTCAAATAGGAGATGTGAAGGAGAAGTAAAGGCAAGAGTAATTAGCATTACAAGTCCTAGACAGGGAACTAGAAAAATGTCAGAACAGGGCAATTTTCAAATGTTCATATGAGAGTCCATTGGAATTTGTTGACAAGGGCTTCCAAAAGCATCCCTCCATTGGGTTCCTCCTCATTTTTCTTTTGTCTTCAAAGGCTGTACTAGTTGGCTGGGAAGAGAGTAAGTTTTGCCTGTATGTATATAAATGTACTCTGGCCCATAGAGGCCAGAAAATGGCACTATGTCCGCTAGAACTGGAGTCTCACACAGGCATTAGCCATGATATGGGTGCTGAGAACTGAACCCAGGTCCTCTGCAAGAGCAACCACTGTTCTTAACTGCTGAGCCATCTCTCCAGCCCTGGAAACAAAGTTGCTTGATGTGGTTAAAAACTCAAACTCAGTTTTTTTACCCATTTTATTATCTTTAAATTATAATCTATGATGTGTGCTTGTGTGATAATTAATGGAGCTATAGAAAAATGAGGTGAAACACAACCAAAAACCTTCACGCCTAGCCATGTATCCTCAGTCTTGTTTACATCCAAGTTTGTGTGAATCTCATCTTCCTTTGTAACATCTGCTGTGTGGCTTCTATATTACAGAATCAGGGTAGGATCCAGGCTGGAGACAAATCACAGTCTTGGTCTCATTTCCTATCCTTACTAGCTGCATGACTTTATGACCTTTAATAAGTGACAACAAAATGTACAAAGCCTTGATGCCTGTCTTTAAAGTAAAGGTATTTCAGATTTTTTTATGTAAGTGAATTCATCTCATTTATCTAGATGTGTCTAACTCATTTCACTTCACATTATCTCCTCTAAGTCCACCTGTGCTGTGGTGAATAACAGGACTTTCCATTTTTAAAAGGTTTAAATGTGTATCTCAATAAATTTGGGGGAAGCTATAAGACAATTTGTGTTTAAAATGTTATTTTGAGGCTTAACTGGGATAATCTAGATAAAGCTTTTAATGCAGTTTCCCCCACACCGGAAACTCCTAGCATATTACTGTCAAAGTGTTACTTTGGGAATTAAACTAGATAATCTAAATAATGTTTTAAACAGTTTCGCATACATGGGAAACTCCTGAAATATTTGATACTATTGTTTCTACCTCAGTCCTTTCCTTCCACAAAGAGATTACTGTTTTTCCTCTCCTAGGTGTGAAATATATCCTGCCTCTAGTGTAGAATAACTTTTTCTTTGGTAAGTAATAGAAAGTGGCATTTCCTTCTATTTTCCATTTTTATTAATTTAGTTTGTTGACAATCCCATACCTGTGTACACTGCATTCTGAATATTCTCACCCTGCCGTCTCCCATCTCCCTCCTATCCCTGTCATGCTCCCCACCAGTTCTTTTCCCACACTCATGACTTTTGGTGCTGTTCTGTCACACTACTGACTATTTATTGCATGCCCCATGGGACTATTATGTTCTGGAGTTTTAAAGACATGCCTGTGGTTATTCCATTTTTTTCCTGATTTTACAAACTTTGGGCATGTAGTTTCTAACTTTTTACCCTTTAAGATTGCAAGCTTCATACTTTATAATAAATTTACCCTTTGTTTGACAAATAAGTTGTACTTTAGCATACATTTTTTTTATGCTGGGCCTGTATATGATAGGTAAGCATTCTACTATTGAACTACATCCTCAGCCCAGTATCTCCTTTTATATTAAGAAGAAAATAACTTAGAAATTAATAATAAATTTCTCCATTATCAGAAAAAAAATCTTAAAATTTTGACTCCTAGAGTCAGTAAACATAGAAGGTTATCAAGAAATAGTTATTGCCTTATCCTCAAACTTGTATATCTAATAAAATCACACTTGAATAATTTTAAGTCAAAATAAATATCACTTTTCACATTTTGATATTACTTATATGATATTATGTATACTATATAATGATATGAAACAGTGATACATTTATTATATATGATATCCTGATTAAATCATTATTATATAATGATTATATATAGTTAATCATATGATATGAATTAATATGGTATAAGTGGAACTTTGAATTCTATGCAAGCTCATATAAGATTGTGCAGCAATAGGAATTTCCGTTCAACTCTGTGAGTATGTGGAGACACTTGGGGAGGTTAAAAATAAAACTAGCTTCTTGTTTCATATAGTTGTAAAGATAAATTGCAGCTTGAAAAATACATTTGGGAATTCCTGTTGCAAAATTATCAGAAGATGTTTGTTGAGAATACATTCATGACCTAGGCTAGAGAAAACTTTCTGAAATGAGGTAAAATGGATTCATAAATGCAGCTATTTAACACACAAGCTATTTCTGAATAAGAAGGCACATATGTAGGTCATATGACCAGCCACTGCCTGGGAGAATATTTTGGAATCTCTACTGCAGCCAAAAATGTGGAGTACAAAGAATGTGCCTGAAAATACAAAAAATATTAGACAATAGATGAACAGGCTAATGCACGAAGACAAATGTACAGTTTATATACACGTCAAAGATGTTCAGCAGTGAGTGTCACTGGTGCTGAAGGTGAGAACTGGCAAGCTGCCTCACACATTGCTTGTGGCATAGTCACCATGGAAGGCCATTTGATGGTGGCTATTTAAAAATAAAATGCTGTTTGATTCACTTACACGTAGTTTTCTAAAGAAAATCTCCCCACAAATGTGCCCACAGAAATTGATACAATTGTATTCACCACATAGTTTTCTTGTATTAAAACAAATGTTTTGTAATACAATAGAGAAACAGACAAGGCAAGGCTTCAATAATAAATGACAGATATGATGAATTATTTTACAGCAGTTAAAAGAAAATCAAATCAGGTCTATATATCTACCAGTAGATATTTGTCGCAAGAACTGGACATAAAGTGAAAAAGTGGGCTGATGAGTGACATACCACTGGTTGTGGTGACACATAACTGTCATCCCAGCACACGGGAGTGGAAACAGAATTTTAATAATGGACTACTTATCCAGACTCTGATCAAAACACAAACACAAACAAAAACAGAAACAAAAGAAGCAAACAAATTAACAAGGAAACAGGAAAACCCAAAGAATTATATATACTATAATATTAAAGGAAAAAGTATTAAACACTAATATAATTTTCTGAATGTGTATATATGAAAGCAGGTACTATGTTTTACAAAAAGATTGGAAGAATACTATTAAATTCACAAATGTACCTTTTAGTCAAGAGACACAGAAAAGCAGAAGAAGCTTACTTTTTGTATCCTTATTAAAAATAGAAAACGTAGACATGTGTGATTATTAAAAATGGAAAAATAAGATTAATCAGACATGGTACTCATAAAAATGGTCCTTATCGGTGGTAGAAAATGGTGATTGCTTTCTTTTTTATAAAAATGGTCCTTATCGGTGGTAGAAAATGGTGATTGCTTTCTTTTTTTAACACAAAATATTCCATTGCTGGCCTGCCCTTGGCCACATGGGCTCCCAGTCTCTACACATTAACCACCACCTACACTCGCTGTGGCTTATCTTATCTGAGGTATCTTTCCACTGATCTTCTCAAGACATCACCTCTATGACCTCTGTGTTTATTCAAGTGATTGCACCTTTGTTGAAAGATCAACTTCATCCATAAATGTGGTTAAGCCTCTGCTTTCTGGATAGCTGGAAACTATGTTTTGTTGCTAAATTATTTCATCGCTCAGTTTATAAGGCATCCTAGGCTTATAAACTCCCCTGATACCCATTTCCCTTATTCAAAAATGAGCATTTCATTCCTTGAGCTTTGCCCAGTGAAAGAGAGTGTATGTGGCAGCTGATGGCAGTCGGAGCCTGGCACATCACAGACAAGGGAAAGACAAAGGAAAGAATAAGGATTAGAAATAATGCCCTATTCTTCATCCCTTGTATATTTATTTACATGGCGCCATCATCTACTCTGTCCATAGACAAAATAATGATCGTGTTTTATTGCATTTTGACACCCATGTTCAAGCCCCTGATTTATACTCTAAGAAAAGCAGAGGTGAAAAATGTTATGAAGAATCACTGGAGAAAATGAGGAACTGTGGCATTGTGGAGAGAGTATGCAAGCTACAGTAGGGAAACAATATTAAATGATTCTTGGTAAGAATTCATATTTCATATGGGACCTGAGTGACTGTCAAAAATTTCAGTCTGCTCAAAAACTCAGCATAGAACTGGGGAAATGGACAGCATAGCCCAAACTTAGATAAAGAAATATTGGTACCTGATTACTGCTGGGTGAGGAAGAGCTGATCTTCCTAAAGCAAGGGACTCCAGATAGGCTGACTAGATCTCAGTAGATGAACTTGCACTGAGGAATGTCTGGGAACACTAACTTGACACAATAGGCCTTAACACAAATGACAAAATATATGAATTCCAGTGGGGGGTGCTATGGAAGTGAGCTAGTGGGGAAGGGGGTATAAAGATCATTAAGATCGATCGAATCTTAATGAAATACACAAAAATTCAATAAAAATTTTAAAAATGTATCAGCTATATGTGTTTGTATTTATGCATACATCAACACATGATCATTTAGATGACAAATGATTATATAATGCTTCAGTTTCTTTTTACCAGTTTTCCCTGAACTGAAGTGTATGGAGGAATAACCTCCTTCTTCATCTGTGTTTAAGACGAACCTTCCTGAACCTTGGATATTGAGTTTCTGTGATGACCAGAATCTTTACTTGAATTGGAAGAACCAGATGGCTCTAGCCCAGCTACTGAGGAGCTCCCACAGAGGCCCAACTCAGGTGCCAATCAGATAGTCTCAGGCTTCCTCTGAAGGTCTGGGGCCATCTAGCCAGCAGGCACAGCACAATTTGGGAAGCTTGCTAAGAAGAGATGCAGACAATCTCAGGTACTCTATAAAGGTCTGGGCCCCTACCAAAGGGCAGGGAAGCCTAGCCCTTCAGCAGTGGGAGGGGCTGTAGGTGGTCCCAATGTAGGGAAATGAACATAGTGCAATTTGGAAAGCTCACCACTATCCAGAGGCTGTAGGTTCAGGCACTTTCAGGCAGTCTGGAAACATCTGGGATCCTACTAAAAGGCAGAGTAGCCTAGCCTTGCAGCAGTGGGGTGGGGAAGAACTGCAGATGGTCCCAACACGCAAGCTCATCACCACATGGAGCTAAGCGGGTAGTCCAGAGATCTGGGGTGCTAAGAGCAAAAGTAGGCCTGTGTCCAAGGCTAGAAGGAGAACAGGATGTGGGGTAGGGGAGATTGGAGTTGCTCAGGTTGTTTTTTTAAAAAGACTATCATATCACTTCCTTATGAGAACCACATATGATCCATTTATAAAATGGTTACAGCAATGTTCAACAGTGAATCAATGTCCAAATATGTGTGGTGAGGTTTCATCTATATGCTATTTAGAAATATACCTCATATTTTCATATAATTTATTATATATAATCATGTCCATGTTAATTTATTACAGACTGTCTTTATATACTTCCATGATTTGGTTTATGATTGCCAATATTATTTGCTGCATTATCAAGATCACAAGCTATAGCTTCTTTTGATATTGCTTTACATAGAAAGCAGATTTAGGATAAACTATCAGTGACTAATGTGAGCCATAGTCTAGTATCCAATGTGAAGGATCAGCTGGTTCATAAACGGATCACACATGGTTCTCATAAGAAAGTGATATGATATTCTTTTCTTTTGAAAAGCAAAGAAACACCTGTGAATAGAAGCTGAGTTATTTAACCAAGAATTGAGGTAGAATAAATGCAAGATCTTTCTTATTTTCAAGTATGATTTGTCAAAATATATTATTATGCCAGGCATGGTGGTGCACACCTTTAATCCCAGCACTCAGGAGGCAGAAGCAGGTGGACCTCTGTGAGTTCAAGGCCAGCCTGGTCGGATACACACTGTTGATATCACAGTGGGGTATCACAAATGATATTGACTCAGCTAGGGCTAAGTGGAGCTTCTGACCCAGGAGCACATCTCTAAAGTTAGAGATTGTCTTGTCTTAAACTTTCATGTGTTTATTTTCTTCATGTTCTCTCCTTTTGAGTATATTTTTATGAATCCTTTAAGAATCTTATACAATGTATTTTGATCATATTTACCCCTACCACTCTTCCCATATCCTCTTCCAAGATCTACTTCCTACCTTCCCACCCCCTCCAAACTTTGAGCCCTCTTTTTTAAAAAAGAACCTACTGAGTTCAGCTTGTGCTAACCATATAGTCATTAGCATGAGGCCATCCATTGGAGCAAGTTGGACCAACCAGGGATCACACCCTTAAAGAAAACTGACTCTCCCTCCCCCAGAAGCTATCAGTTGTCAATAGCTCTACAGTTAAGGGTGGGGGCATGTGAACTCCACCCCCGCATGCTAGAATACTGACTTACTTGATCTTATGAAGACCTAGCTGTCAGCTCATGAGGGCAGTGGTCCGGTTATGTGCAGAAGACATTATTTTGCTCTAGTCTCCCTTAACCTCTGGCTTTTTCCATATCCTGTGACCAAAGTATGTGGTATATTCGGTAACAGAGTCTTACCATTAGATTCTGGTGGTCAACCAAGAGAAGTGGCACTGGCCTGTATTGTTTCCAGGGTCCCCAGGACACCCATGTCCAACAATTCAGGGGGAGGGAGGCATTCCATGCCTGGAACTGGGCTTTTCATTTGGCAGTCTATGGTTTCTGAGAGGAAGAAGCCTGCGCACACTAGTGTAGGGTAACTCCAATTAAACTCCTTTATATGAAAATAATATGTATTTAGGATGCTTATAAAATAGTAGGTTTCTGACAAATGGGACCTCTTTGGACGTAAAAGCTTCTGTGCAGCAAAAGAAACAATCAGTCAAGTGAAGAGGAAGCCCACAGAGTGGGAGAGAATCTTTCCTAGCTATACACCTGATAGAAGATTAATTTCCAGAGCATACAAAAACTCAGAAAACAAAGAATCAAGAAAACATATGACCTAAGCATGAATGCTTATATTTACACACAAGCATACCTCTCACCACTCATCAAAGAAATAGATGGAGACTATTGTAGAGTTCCACAACTGGTCAAACACAGAGAATAAGTGTCTGTGAGATGTTCAGCCCTAAGTGACACATCTATAATGCAAGCTCTACATCTAAGGCTCGGGGAACATAGTGGAACAGGGGACAAAAAGATTATATATTTTTAGTGTATATTTTTATTGAATTTTTGTGCATTTTATATAATAGATCTTAATCAAATTTAGACCCCTCTCCTCCATTCACCCCCCCATAGCCTCCCCACCATATTTCATGCATTCTATCATATATGTTAAGGCCTATCCAGTCAAGCATTTGAACCCAGATATCCCTCGGTGCAAGTTCATCCACTGGAGTCTAGTCAGCCTGTCTAGAGTCACTCCCTTAAAGAAGATTTACTCTCCTTCACCCAGCAGTAATCAGTTGTCAAGAGTTCCTCAGGTAGGGTTGGGTCCTGCTACCTATTTCCCTCATTCTACGCTGTGTTTTCATCTGATTGAGTTTGCATGGGTCTTGTGCGTGCTGTCATCATTGTTGCATGTTCATATAAGTTGCAAGTCACTCAGGTCCCATGTAAAATATGAATTCTTACTAAGAGTCACTTAATATTATTTCCTTACTGTAACTTGTATACTCCATCCACAATTCCTCATTTTCTCCAGAGATTCTTCATAGCATTTTTCACCTCTGCATTTCTCAGAGTATAAATCAGGGGGTTGAACATGGGTGTCAAAATACAATAAAACACGGCCACTATTTTGTCTATGGACAGAATAGATGATGGCCTCATGTAAATAAATATACAAGGCACAAAGAACAGGGCAACAACAGTGAAGTGGGCACCACAGGTGGACAGGGCTTTGCGTCTCCCCTCTGCACTGTGGGACCTCAGTGAGCGCAGGATGACAATGTACGAGGCAGCTAGCATGAGGAAGTTCAACAGGCAGATCACACCACTGTTAGCCACCACCAGCAGGCCAATGACATACGTGTTGGTGCAGGCCAGCTCCAGCAAAGGGTACAAGTCACACACAAAGTGATTGATCACATTGGGCCCACAGAAGGGCAACTGAAGGACCAGGAGGAGCTGAATGGATGAATGCAGGAAACCCCCCAGCCAAGCCACGGCCACCAGCATGGCACAGAGGTGCCTGGTCATGATGGTGGTGTAGTGCAGGGGCTTGCAGATGGCCACATAGCGGTCATAGGCCATCACCGTGAGCAGAATGATCTCAGTTCCTCCCAATAAATGAGCAACAAAGAACTGGGCCAAACAGCCCTCAAAAGAAATGGTTGTCCCCTCATGCAGGGAGTCAGCAATGAGTTTGGGAGTCATACAAGAAGAATAACAAGTATCAATAAAAGACAAACATGAGAGGAAAAAATACATAGGGGAGCCCAAGGTGGGGCTGGATGTAATAGTGATCATGATAAGTAAGTTGCCCGCAACAGAGACCAGGTATACAAACAGAAAAAGCACGAACAAAACCCTCTGCATCTGAAGATTTTGTGAGAGTCCCAGCATGAAAAATTCTGTGATGTTTCGTGAACTATCCATGAATTCCGAGCTGCATCAAGAGATTTACCCAAAGTTTTGTTGCTATCTCCTTGACATTTAAAGAAACTGGGAGTGGGGAAAGTCAGTTTTTTAGTATAATTAATCTAAATTTGAATCCCAAAACAAAGACCTGTTGTTGGTAATGTAAATCATGCTATTCATTTGTAATTCATTATTTCAATGGAGCATTAAGTAACAGATAAAATGAATACCCCTCAAAATATGTACTTTTTTTGGCATGTAAGAATCAATTCTCTTTTGTTCCCATGTATATGTATATGTTATGGGCATGCATGCATGTATGTATATATGTATGTATGTTTGCATGCCTGTGCAGACCATAGGTTGACATCAGGTGTGTTTTTCCATCATGTCCCATGTTATATATTGAGCAGGGTCTCTCCCTTAGACCCAAAGCATGCAGATTCAGGTAGTCCAGTTGGCGAGCTTGCCTTGGGGATCGAGTCTCTGCCCCCTGTGTGCTGGGATCACAGGCCACCTCGGGGACCCACCCAGCTTTTATGTGGGTGCTGCGGACCTGAATTCTGGTCCTCATACTTACATGGCAAACACTTTTCCTGCTGAGCTGTCTCCCCAGCCCTCAATTCTTTTTTTAACCAGTAAGAATTGATTCTTCTTTTCAGATTAAGAGCATCTTCATGGAGTTTTTGTAATGGCGTCCTGCAGTGCAATGTTGTGACTATATTTCATGATAGTCCATTAGCTATTTTATGATGATCGAGCGGAGTTCCAAACATAAAGAAATGGTAAGAAGAGGAAAACAGTAATTACCTTGATATAGTGCATGTTGTGTGACTGTTGAAATATCACATTACATCATGCTAACATGTACAGTCATTACATGCTAATCAAGAGTTGGAAATGGCGGATCACATATACAATAAACATGCATTAAACAACACACTATACACAATAATATACATTGTCAGTTTAAAATAAGTTCACTTGAGCTATACTGTGTCATTAAAAATAGTTGTAGGTAATTTCTCTAAATATTTTCTGTATGTGCTTTTGTAGAGTGATATTTCTAGCTTCCAACTTTTTTCATAGTGTTCAAATGGACAGTTTCTGAAAACTGAACTCATCTAATCCTATTTCAATGTATTCCTGTCTCTGTGTTTCATCTGCCAAAAGCATAAAAGTCATCCTTACTTGTTTCATATTTCCAACGTTTGTCCCCAACACTGGAAAGCAGAGGCAAGAGGATTTCTGGAGCTTGTTGGCTGCCAGCCTAACTCTAGGTTCAGTGAGAGACCCTGTCTCAAGGAAATAAAGAGGAGCATGGCAGGGCAAGACACCTGGCGTCCTCCTCTGACCTCTGCATACCTACATATGCACATGTGCATATACCACAATCACACATGCATATACACACAAGGAATTCATCCATCATTAGTTCTTTTATTTATTCTAAAACACTTCCCAAACCTTTTCTGAACACTAACTGTGCTCAGCACTAGATTTAGGTCAATTCCCCAAATAAGCCAATGCTCCAGTAACATGGCAGCTAGTCTCTTCTACCTTACATCTCTCCCAAATACTGTCTCAGTCATGCATATGGTAGTCATAGTGACATGAGTAAATAATCCAGTCATGTCATTACTCATTTTAAAATTGCCTAAAGGCTCTCTTTACTTGCAGAATAAAATCTAAGCATTCTAGTCTCGTTACAAGGATGTTGCTCGTGCGTCCACATTGTTTTTCCTATCCTTGTCCACTGCCTGCATCCCTGATTAAGTCATACCAAGTCAAAAACCATAATTTTCTGAAGACAATGTGAGGGAAATGTCACTGGTGTTATACAGTCTTTCCATTTTGTGGCATCCTCCAAAGTTAAATGCCAACACCATTCATCTCTGTAAGAATGTAATCTTTTCTCCTACCCCAGGCTATATTAGAAAGTCTTCCACTGTGTTCCCTTAGTACCCAGATTGACTCTTGACTCTAGCTCTTTATTCACTCTGTTATTTGGTCTGTCTCTACCTTACATCTGCATAATCTTGAAAGCAATAATTCTGTGCATTTAATACCTGTGTTGTCAAAACTTCAGTGGTTCCTAATGAAGTGAACAATGAATGAATGAAAACTAAAACCAAAAAATCTAGGGAACTTAAAAAATTCAAACTAGCTAGGTGGATTACCTTACCAGATAACATCACAAACTATACTTCTGAGTTATAGTCATAAAAACAGCATGGTACTGGCACAAAAGCAGACACATAGAACAATGGAACATTATTGAAAACCTAATCATGAGTACATGCAATTTCAGCTACCTGATATTTAACAAAGGTACCAAAAACAAACATTGGAGGAAAGACAGTATTTTCAACAACAGTACTGGCAAAATTGGGTCTCCATCCGTAGAAGAATAAAATTAGACTCTTATATTTGACCTTACACAAAAGTCAACTCCAAATGGATCAAATATCTCAATGTGAAACCTGAAACTCTGAAACTGTTAGAAGAAAACATAGGAGGTAACCAACAGGATATAGGTGTAGGAAAGGACTTTCTAAATCAGACATCAGTTGCTCAGGAACATAAGACTAACAATCAATAAGTGGGACCTCATTAAACTCAAAAGCTTCTGTACAACCAAGAAAGTGAAGAAAAAAACTCACATAGTGGGAGAAAATCTTCACCAGTGACACATCTGATAGAGGTTTAACATCCAGAACTCAAAAAACAAAGACTCTCAAAAATAAATAACCCAATTAAATGATCTGAATAGAGAGTTCTCAAAAGAAGAAATAAAGACAGCTAAGAAACACCTTAAAAAGTGTTCGATATCAGCCAGGCATGGTGGCATATGTCTTTAATCCCAGCACTTGGGAGGCAGAGGCAGGCAGATCGCTGTGAGTTCAAGACCAGCCTGGTCTACATAGTGAGTTCCAGGCCAGCTGGTACAGGGAGAGCCTATCTCAAAGAGACCAAAAATTAAAAGCATTCAACATAATTAGTAATTAGGAAAATGAAAATTAAAAACACTTTAAGATTTCATCTTACCCCAGTGAGACTGGTTAAGATCAAGAGAACAAATGATACCAAATGCTAGAGAAGGTGTAGGGAAAATAGAACACTCATTCACTGGTGTAAAAAAAAAAAAAAAAAAAAAAAAAAAAAACAGAGGGGAGCATATTAGATCAAAAACCTACTGAAAAAGTACACATACAATATCTCTACATGATTTCATGTATACAGCTGAATGCTATATAAGAAGAAGCAGTGCCAGACAGGAGAAACTTCCCTTCAAGTTCATTGGCCAGGGTAGTTAAAGAGACTCCCAAAATTACACAGACTATTGCCATAGTCCTTGATTTCCTCCTAGAACTTGAAGGTAAGACCCTATTGATGAACAGAGGACATACTTTAGAGCAATGGAGTCGGAACTGACCTGGAAGCCAGCTCCCTGAAGGCTAATTCTCTTTTTGGAGGACATTATGCAAGCTGCTAGGGGAGAACATCAATTGATGGTCCAAACGTAGCTTTAAGTCCTAATAACCACAACAATGACTGGCACTACATTGGGGCAGAAGTGGCACTTTTATTTGGGGGGATAATCAACATCTATTTAATTGGACTTAATGCCCACTCAGTAGGGAGGGAACTCATGTGTGGTACTGTGAATACACATAACTGGAGAAGTCATAGATCTTAGAGAAAAACCTTAAAGCTGTCACATCCCTAGACAAATGTAATTTCTTACTATGTACTAAATATGGATCCTTATATTTACAGACAACTATGCAGTCACTACTCATCAAAGAAACTTCTTTTGCAACTGACAGAGACTGTTACAGAGTTCCATGTCTGGCCACATAGAGATTAAGTGTCTATGAAATACCCAACCCTAAGTGACACATCTACAATGGAACCTCTATACCTAAGACTCATGGAGTATAGTGGAACAAGGGACAATGCATCCCTCAACTCACATCAATAAAGCTCCCTCATGCATCAGGGGGCAATGAATCCATGGCTCAGGGACCATTGCAGAAGATGAGGCAGAAAGATTGTAAGAGCCAGGGGAGGAGGTGCATGACCATATGGAAATGGAGGCTTATAGGATCCTGGAACCTCATTCATGTGAACTTACAGCAATGGTGTCAGCATGCACAAGGCCCATGCAAAGTCAAGCAGACAAAAACCCAGCAGAGAAATGTGGAAATGGGCAGCAAGTTGTGATCTTAGCTGAAGAACTATTGAGTAGCTGATTACTACTGGGTGAGAAAAAGTTAATCTTCTTTAAGGGACTGAGAAAAATTCAGTAAGAAACTACAGTTTAGTATCCTCTTCTCTGGCTTGGAAATCTTTTGGTCTACACAAGTTGTGTTTAAAAACCGTATAACATATCTCATGTATTTATGAGCTACAGGAGACCTCTTAAATTGCCACTTCCAGTTTTCTTTTCTGCAAGTCCATCAAGGAAAGCTATTTTATCATAACCTCATATAACACCTTTGATTTTAACTGGACTTAGTGGGTTATCAAAAAAAGAGGCATGAAGTTGGGAGGGAAACATATTGTGGGAAACCTGGGGGTAGTTGAAAGGGAGAGATGAGAGGAAATATGACCATATTCATTGTACACCTGTATGAAATTCTCAAGAATATAGAAACATTTGATGTTAAATTTTTGATCCAGAAAGACAAGTCACAAACCTAAGAAAGACTTAAGTCACAAACACTGACCCCTATGCCTTCTAAGTCACTAACCTAACCTTACACTTATATTGTACCATTTCCTCCCTGAACCCAGATTACTCAGCCCACAGGAGGACAAATGGAACAGAAGGAGCAGAAAAGTTTCTAGTCCTGGTTTTTGTGAGGATGGGCATCAAGAGAACCCTTCAGACTAAAGGGAGAAATATAATGACAAAGATAGCAACCTGTGATTATTAGACAGACTTTAGGAACATTTAAATTGAAAGAGGAAAAATGCTATGTATTACAATAAGAGAAAACTACTGCTTTCTAATA